CCCTGTCCCTTTAAGACTTTCAAAAAGCACTCGCTTTTCTTTGTCACAGGGGCATCAGCTTCGGGACCCGCTCAGAGGTCTTGCTGCCCTGTTTCCCTAGTTTCCAGCCCTCCACGCATGCACTGTGTCTGCGCTCTGGTGCGGATGGCTAGGGCTAGGTGTTTACCATTCCTGGGCTCCCTCTCCCTCCCCGCTCTGACTCCTCTCCTCCCGCTGGGAGCTGGGGTTATGGGTGCTCGGGTTATGCTGGGCCAGGGCTTGTTTCTTTCTCCTTTCACCAGGCGCTGGGCTCTTGCACGTGTGGATGTAGTCTGGCTGTTGTCCTGTGTCTTCTGGTCTCTCTTTTAGGATTAGTTATATTTGTTGTATTTTCAAAAATATATATGTTTTTGGCAGGAGATTCCCACTGTCCTACTCATGCCACCATCTTGGCTCTCCCTTATTTCTGTTATTTTTAACAAATTAATAAATAATTTTAAATGTTCTCAGTTTTAATTTCAAATATAGTAAGCAACTACAGATATAACCCACATAGATGAAAGCTTCCCAGAGTCCTCAATTATTTTTAAGATAATTGGACAGTTAAGACCAATACGTTCACACTGATCATCCAAAGGGCCCTATTCCACAGCAGCTATGACAGCTGTCCATCCCGATCATCCCCAGCCCCTCTTCACTCTCAGTCCTCACCACCTTACTGCACACTTCCTAATAGTATAGAACTAAAAACTTCCTACAGAAGACGCCATGACCCCTTACCTCTGTCAAGGTATAGCATAAATAAAATTGCTAAACATAGTATGGGAAAGGGCTGAATAAAATCACGTGATTTTATAAGGAAAAATAATGGTGAGAAAAATATTAACTTATAGAACTCAAGGAGAGATCTACTGTCTTGTATAGCTCTACTGCTACCATATTGGACTTTGTCCTGAAACCTTCACTTTCTCTAGATACTTCTAAGTAAGAAGGCCTGTTTTTTCTAGGATACCATTATTCCACATTATCCCACTAAGCACATGTATTTACTGAGCTGGGTTTTTCAGGGGAGGATAAGTGGGTCCACATGATTTGGGGGGTAGGACAAAGTAAGTAAAAGAGAAGCAAAAATATCATTTGTTCACACAGGAAAATAAATCCATGCTGAAACCACTGTGGAAGCCCAGATCCCAGCCACCTGCCAGGCCTCTAGCAGTCACCGATGCTGCTTAGCACCCACTGCTTCAAATACAGCCCCAGCCATATTGCCAGGTGGTTGTCACCAAGGACATAGTTTTGACATCAATATAACCCCAGAAAGAATTGTAAAATGTGAAAATGAAATGAGTCTGATTTTAAACAGAAGAACCTATTTATAACAATTGTAAATAAATAATTATTTAATTATTTGTACAGATATACACATTTACATTATTTCATATTTTTATTTTTATTTATTATGTGTATGTTGGCTATGCCTTCAGCACTGTTGTCTGAATTCAGATGGCCAGTCTGTTGATCAGGAGCCACATTCAATATGCCAGAACCTGTACAACATTTGGCATAGATTAATGCACACAATAATCAAATCATACATAAAATGATTTGGATTTTAGAATACTCTTTAGATTATAAATAATACAGAACATAATACAAGACACCACCAAAAATGTACTACATATACTTAATATTTTTATCAGAGTGAATTCTTTGAGTTCAAAAAATAATCTTATTATTTTTACTGCGATTCTGTAGAGGATAATTATAATTAAAATTTTAGAGGCAATTACTAGTTTAAGCACTTTTTTCTTCTCCATTGCCAATCCTTCCTACAAACAAAATAAGATGTAGGTACACCAAATTCTCAAGGATGGAATTATTCTGAATAATCAAATGTTCTACTTGACTGGATTAATCTTTTCTGAGATGCAATATGTATTTTAACACATTCTGAACAATATAATCTCTGCTTTTTACAGACACAGCATACCAAACATAATTCAATTACATCATGCTATCTCAGGACATTACTATAAACTTATTACTATGATATGCAGAAATAATACACTTTTCCCATTACCTACTTGCTATTCTTCCATGCACACATTATATGCACAAGCACAGACATACAGACATGAAATCGGCTGAGCAAAGTGTAAGTTATATTTTCAGGATGACACAAAGATATTTTCTAAGAATTACTGAATGGAAGGCTACTGAACATCACAAGTTGCCACAGTCCTCAATACACTTAAGAGAGTGGTGTCCAATGATGTCAAACGCTGCACTGTTAGGTTGCAGGCGCTGGGCCCCGACTTCAGAGCTCTCTCTTCTATCTTTGTCATTTAATTGCTTCTTCTGCACCATCTGGACATAGTGCTACAAGCTTCTGGCAGTATTTTAAACCCACCTGCCCTTATCATGGCTCTCTGTTGCTTTCTTTTTGCTTCTCCCCACTTTTCTTTTCGTTATTCTCTGCTTTCTGTTACACATATTGGACTTGGTTCTGAAAACCTCACTTTCTCTGGATACTTCTAAGTAAGAAGACCTGTCTTTCTTTAGGTCACCTATTATACCACAGCCATCAAATATAATACTTGATATACTCTTGGTTACATGCTTCATTTAGAAGTATTTAACAGGCTATTGTAAGATAACAAATACTAAGTTGACCTTAGGCCTTTTAGCTGTAGCCAGAAATGCTCCAAAATAATTAGGCTCCACAGCTTTCCTTTTGTCCACCTATGCATAATCATCACAGTATTGATTCTTTGGTCTACTTTACATTTTTTCATTCGCAACAGTTGTTGCACCAGACACTGTATTAGGCACTGGTGATACAATGGTAAAGAAAGCCAAATACTATAGTTCTTGAATAGAAACCTTCAGCAATGTAACCCAGTTACAGTGTACAATATATAGTTCAGCTATACAAACCATTTAAATTCATATAAAATCATCAGGCTATCAAATTTAAGAGCCTTCTTCTAAGCCTTTTTAAGTACTTCTCTACATAGTAGATAAAATTGAGCCAATATCCTTTCAAGAATATTTAGTTGTTCATTGACCCTTCACTAGGGCACAGCCCTTTTTCATGGGAGAAAGTGCAAGGAAATCCCAAGAAATGAAGGGAAGCTTTAGGAAGCATTCCATGGTATAACAGATGGTTATGGTCTTATCACCCCCATATCCAATAAAATCCTATAGCATTCAAGCAACCTTCCAAGGACTTTTTAAATTTGAAAGGCCATATTTGATGTGAGTTACAGGAGAGATTTTTAAGACAGGGACCTTAGCCTTTTGTAAAAAGTAAAACTGCTATTCCCTACTCTATCCATTAGAATAGTGTATAAAATATATCAAAGTTTTATCATGATCAACCATCAATCAAATTATTCCTATGTAGATATTTAACTTAATTTTGGAAAGTATACACAGTCAAAATTTTTCTAGAGTAAGGAACTGGTTTATATGAAACATTAAGGGAGAAAAAACAGCCAAGATTAATTCTTAATATGAGATATATTTTGTTTTATTACAATATTCCTTATCTTAGAAAAATCTGATTTCTCTAAATTGTGCTTATCACCGAACACAATCTACATACCTGTGTGACTACGGACATGAACTCTCAGGGTACCACTACTGGCAAATTTCTGGCCACAGTAAGGACAGATTTTCTCCTTTTCTCCTGTATGTGTCTAAAAGGAAAAGAATAAAAAGGGATGAGGCCAAATATGAAGAACTAGGTAAAAATGATTAAGCATCTCTGACAAACATTAATCCTTCTTGCCCAGTATTATGTTTCATTAAAATGATTTAATATCACAATGAGATTTTAAACAATTTATCATGGGTATTCTCACCGGTTCAAAAAAAACCCTTAGAATCATACATTAGCATTAATTTGAAAGTAATTTTGTAGTCTGCTTTTTAAGCCTTTATGGAGTACCCATCTAAAATGGTTAATTTATACAAAACCAGTATATGCCGTGAAACCACAGCTGCCCTTAATTGCTACCAAGAAACACTTCCTTAGAAGTATTTTTCACATTTTTGTGTGTATTTAACTCTTGAGGACAGAATTAATCTCAATGAAGTAATTTGTTACTTGTATTATGCTTGTCTGACTAGATCGATTTACTGCAAAGCAAAAAGGAATATAAATCTGATTTGATCTTTAAAATCAGCAGATGTTTACTGAATAGTCAATTTGAAAGAACATTCCTGCCCCCAACATACCTTTAATCTGAGCATAAAACACACAAGGTGAATGAGTAGCATCAAAAGCAAGTTTCAATAAAATGTTAAGGGAGTTCAAGAAAAAAGAGTGACCCCTCCAAAAAGAGGAGGCAGGTGAAGGTTTTCAACTTGCTCACAGTCTCACCAGGAGACCGGTTATTCTACCAGCATCAAAATAAGTCATTCCAATAAATGAGGGGTCAGAGATACTTTTCAAGTCCCATTGCTTTATAAACTTAAGAGAAGGAAAAAAGAAGGGAAAAGGAGGCAATTGCTTCAGATATCTGCAAATTCCTATGAGACAGTTTTTAGAATTTTATTCAATGATAATCTAAAAATTAATATAATAGATCATCTGGGTTACCACCACAAAACAGTTTCTAGGCCCTGTGTTTGCATTTGTTTTAATGCAAATTACTGGCAAGTATTAGCGTTCGAACTTCAAAGGCTAATGTAAAAAGAAAAGGGAAGGGTTTTGAAAAAAACTAGTGCACTCCCAGAAGGGACACACTGCCTGAGATAGGGAAAAGAGGTGGACAGTTACCTCATCACCTAACAACCTCAAAGAACCACTGACTTGGCAATACATTCTCATCTTCCATGTTAAATTAATTGTTAATGTTAATATAATTGATTTCATAGCCTTACTGGTATTTAATTTGTAAATTTTCATGTTTGAATTATAACTTACATTTGTATATGCATTATTATATTTGTAATTTTTCAAAGGGTTATGAACTTAATACCTTAGTCAACAGTCAACATCAGTGTCCTTTTAGATAGTTTTCCCTTGAAAATGGTTTATATTATACTCAAGTTTGAGAAAGATAATCTAACCGACTTCTATGCTAGCCAATGACACTGTCTACAGCAGATATCTCCTTGATTTGGCATATGGCAGGTACTTAACTTTCCATTTTCACTACACGTTCTTATACAAAACAGTTCTACATTCTTTACACCTCAGTAAGAGCTGTTATTCCCATGGTCCACATTATGGTTCAATTTAATGAAATGGTATAACATTTTAACATATAACAGACCTATATTTTTGTCATTCCCTGACAGAACAGGCAAAATACAGCCATTCTTTCTTGTTAGTGTAAGGTTGTTTAGAAGTTGTATATATCTATTATTACAACATTGGCTTATTTCAAATAAGACAACTACCAATTTGTATTATCCTTATAAAATTCACAGGAGTTCTTCTGCTGCTACACAGGTATTACATTGTTGTTGTTTAGAAGTTGTATATATCTATTATTACAACACTGACTTACTCCAAATAGACATCTACCAATTTGTGTTATCTTTATAAAATCTACAGGATATCTTCTGCTGCTACACAGGTATTACATTGTTCACTTATATGACCTAAGTTACTTGTCAGTGATATAAGTTTCAAAAAGGACATATGGATGATATTAATGAAAAGAACTAAAATGTTCCTTTGGTTTAATGCAAAAGTATCTTAGTAGGTACATACTAAAGTATCTTAAATATGGATAAGAAAGGATGGAACCATCACTATGAGGAAAATATTAGATAAATGGATGGGGTGAAAATGAACAATACTCTGCAAAATATACTCTGTGGCAATCTGCTATTACAGTTGTACAAACTATATCTCTTTAAAAAATTCACTATACTTTTTCCCCATTGATTAAAACACAACCAGAATTTATTAGTTCATGCAAAAGAGTAATTCAAGAAAAGAAAGTTGAAAGGTTTCTATTTAGAGATTTGACAAAAAGTCGGTATCATTATTACCAAGCATTAAAGATACAGGAAAAGAAAGCTACTTAACTCATTCCTTTTGAAACAGCTCTGTTAAGGATAGGCACCAAAATAAAAGTCATACCAAAGCGGAAGTCACTTCACATTTGCTCAGCAGCACACACTCAGTAGCAGAAAACTAACACACTTAATACTCATTTCTAAAGTCAACATTAAAACCTTTAACTGCATTTGTTATAATATGAATTTTGCTATTTTAAAAACATGGCTATAATGATTTAACAAATAAAAATGACCTGCTGATTTGCTTAGATAATAAGCATAACACAAAAAAGATAATCTCCGAATCACTGGAAGTAAGAACATCATTTTATTTGAGTTGAGCAAATACTTGTCAAGTTCCTGGTTCTCTACCAGGAATCTCCCTAGGTCCTAGAGATGCACGATGAAGAACCATTCCAATCCTAGAAGAGCTCAGTCTAATAATTTATCAATAAATATCTGTGTTATCTTTGAAAAATAAAATTATTAAGGCACTCCTCATATATCTTTTTTAAAAAAGTCCAAAAATGTATACAAACTAATGAGCTCCCACTTATCAAGCACTTGCTGTGACCCATCTATCAGTATAGTTTAGGTCTGTGTACAATCCATATTGAAACCTAGGTTAACTTTCTTAAGAAAAATCTCTCTCTTCCAAAAAAAAAGAAGAAAACTTTATATCTGAAGAGCTGATATAAATTATGCATTCTTTGTCACTGAGTAAACATGTTGATGAACTAAAATTGATTATCACACAGTAATTAGTATACTTACCCACATAATGCTAAATACGTAATGCATCTGAATTCACAGAAGGCTTCTACTTACTTTCTTATGACTTCTAAGCACTGAAGGTGTAACAAATGCCTTGTTACAAAGCTCACATCTGTACTTCTTGTGTCTTTCATGGACCACCTGGACATGAACATTTAAGGTATCCTTCCTTTTAAAGGCAGCATCGCAGTGATGACACTTGAAAGTCCTCTCACCTTAGAAATGAGAAAGTCAAGTGAGAGAAACATATGATGGATGCAACACCAGAGTGCTATTAATTCCCCCTCATGTGTATCAGACTGAGTGCTGTCTCCAAACGGTTAGCTTTATAGCTCTTACAACACATCATGAACATAAAAGATAATTTTTCACAAATAAATTTGGTTCCAAATTTGTTAATTCAAAGTTCTTTAACCTTCTTATATTCTAAGCCTCTTTAACTGGATAATGTGGGGACTGAACCAGCTCATTTTCTAAAGACACCATGAAACTTTTTTAAAAGTATGTATTTCTAGAGCAGGGGCTGGGGTGTAAGGTAAGTAGATTTCTGTGGTGACGAAAGGCCTCTGTGAAGCAGAGTTAAGCTGCTTTGGGGGCCCCTCCTAAATGCCTATCCATCCCACCACTATCCTTATGGCCTTCAGGGTACAGGGTGTAGGCAGAGGGGGTCAGAAGTGCCAGGCCCGGGAGGGAGGCCCCTGAGGACAGGCAGAAATGGGCCAGGGCAGGCCCTCTCATCCCAGACAGGAGAGGGCTACAACACCCCTTCCTTCCTCAGCACTATCTCAGGAACCTCAGGACTATCTCAGGAACCAGGGATCCACTATCTCAGGATCCCTGGGTCTGCTGTGAAACAGCTGAGGAAGAGGCTTGCCTCCCAGGCTCTCAGACAGTTTGGGGGGGCTGCCTCCCAGTGGGGCAGCCAGATGGGGCAGGGGCACCCTGAATGGCAACCACTCTTTTCTCCCCTACAGCCCCTGGTACCTGCCAGGGTTTTTGCCTTCATCTCAGTACAACACAGCCTGGGCCTGCAGGGAAAGCAACTCCAAAAACTGTTTACTTTTTAACTTTCATATAATGCTATCTTTGTAGCTCTTAACACACGTCTAACTTTCAGTGCCGATTTTAAATACATTTTAAGCAATGAATGTGTACAACTAGAAGACAGTGATATCCCTTAGTATGTTAACAAAACACATGTAGCACATGATTATATAAATAAGACAGACTAGTTTTTGAATATATTTTCCCTTTTAAGAGATTAATTACATTAGCACCGATTCACATATTATATTACTATGAGACAAAATACACAGTAACTTTCTACATCTAAATAAGAGATGACTTCAACTTCGGTCAAGCTCTTCCAACTTCCCTCTACTACAACTAGAATGAATTCAGAAATGTGAAGATCCTATTATTTCTTCATGCCAAATTTAAGGAAGGAAGGACAAAAAGAAGGAAAAAAGAAAAAAGGAAAAGATAAATTACCCTCCCTTTGTCCTTTCAGACAGAATTAAGGCTCTTTAACTTAAAGTCTTTTAGAGTTCATGGATGCTTGAAAAAAAGTCATATCCAAACCATGCATGAACCGTGTATATTCTGACAGCTGTGCTTCTAGGTCGCCTTTGTGCATTTTTCTTGCAGGGTATTATTGTTGTAACTTAGTTTATCTTTATATATCTTTTTAGGTTTATTTAAATATTTTAGTTGTATAAAATGCATAAACAGTGAGGTAAGAGGAAATATTGATTGACATAAGATTATAAATGTTAATAATGTCAAATTTATTCAGGCACAGAATGAAATATAAAAACTAAATCCTCCAAGCATTTCCAATAAACTATCAAAGCATTTCTATTAAACTATCAAGTGAATCAAAATATTGGTTCCCCTACAAAAACCTCACTGAGCTATACGAGGGGTGCCCATTCCCTTCTTCTTTCATATTTTAATTTCAGATTTCTTTAAGTTTATCTGAATTTTTAAATTCTGATATGAGATTTCATTATCAGATTTCTTTGCCTTAACCTATCAGAATTTTTCCCTATCGTAAAACCAAGAAGCTAGCTAGCTTGCTTTTGGTTTTTAATTACAGCCATAAATTCCACCAGTGATGACAAAATAGCCTTCAAATTTTGAGCCGGAGTGCTGATGTAAGTTTCTAAAGCAGATGGATTTTAATTTTCACATCGTGAAAACAACATCTAGTATTCTGCCCTATTTTAGTCATTTCTGATTTTCCCATCCTTTTTGCTCACTAGCTTTGACTGATATTTAGCTTTACCTTAAATAACTCATTTACTCACTCAAACACAAAGTTGATTTTCCTCGCCAAATGTTTTGCTGCAGCTTCATAAAGCCTCTGATGTGCCGATCAACATTATATTGAATACATAGTGCACAAGCACAGTCTACACTCGGTCACTTCAATCCTATGTCTCAAGTTGATGAGAACAAATATGCTGAAATCAAAAGTATTAGATTTCTTCTATTAAAAATTCCTTGTAAAATAAACTTTTAATTTTATCCAAAGAAAAATTTCCTATCAGGCCAAGTTCAGCCATATTAGCCTTAATAGTATGAATGAGGCCCACTTGCCTTAATTCCTATTCTAAATCCATTCAGCTCATAACGATTATTTTTCTTTAATCAAATGGTAATGAAATGGGATGTAAATTCCTGCCATTCAATGACAAATTTCTTAAATGCATAGCTGTTCTTTATCAGGAAGTGGCAAGTGGTGCTAACACCTCCAGAGCTGCAAGGTGAATGCAGAATGGCAGGAGAAAACATGCATTTTATCATAATCATTACCACTCGGTAGTCCTAAAAACTTTATTATGCCTATTATTTTTCATTTTAGATACTGCTACTTGGCCAGAGAAAATTTCTTCCAAGATACCATCTTACTTGTACAGTTAACTGTTAAAACTGATTAATTGTTTTGCTTTCCTCAGAAATATTAAAAATGTAATCAGCAGTAGGAACTTTGTGTTATAAGACATTCTACTGATTAAACTTGAATTAAAATCATGAAATATAAGTATTACCTATGTTACATCAGTTTTTCTTTAATTGCAGATAAAGTACTGTAGTATATCTCTGGTTCAACATCTAAACACAGAATCCACTTTAAAACTCAGCTTAGCAATAACATTTTCTTTTCTGAAATAAAGTGCTCTCTTTCAGCAATACAGCTATAAATTGTGTTGTTCTAAAACTAGCTCTGACTGCACAGGCAAGCTTTTCATGGTGGTGTGTGTGTGTATTAACTCAATCCAAAAGAAAAAAAATGCCCCTGCCAAAAGAAGTAAGAATTCAGGGGGCAGTGTAACGTGGAAGCAAAGCACCTGACTGTAAGAGACCTGGATGCCACCCCAGTGCTGTGGAACCCTGAGTATGTCACTGTGTTTCTCTGAGTCTCAATTTTCTCAATTCTCCTCAAATTAAGAGGTTAAATTAGACACTTCCTCGGATCCTTTACAGCTTCAAAGTCTGTGAGCTAATAAAATCATGCCAGATTTTAAAGTCAGACATGTTTCCTTAATCACAACATTTAAAGAGAACAAAAACAGCTATTTCAGAACAAATTTCAAGATATCTTGCTGAACATATGACATGTTTTATACACAAACTTAAAGTAGTGGGAAAAAATGATGTAAATGAACTGTCTCATAAAATGATTAATCTTACTGTGGGAAAATAAAGCAGGAAGAAAAAGTGAAAGGCAGAATTATTAGTCTTTTTATGTTTAATATCATATTATATAACTACTTACAGGTCCACTTCTGTGATGCATACATTCCCAAAGTTTTTAAGAACAATGAGTAAGATAATTCTTTTTGTCCTCAACTGCCTGTATTTTGACTTACTGTTATGTATGAGCAGGTGTCTCTGCAAAGAAAATGGGGTCCGGAACAAAGCTTTACATTCCTCACATTGGAATGGTCTCTCTTCAGAGTGGGTCTACAGACGAAAGAAACTGTGAGTCAGGAGTATCTAGATCAGCCAGTCAGCACAGTAACTGGGGCCTGGATTCATGATATGAAAGAGGAAAGAAGGGAAGGTAGATAATATCTTGTTTCTTCTTCAACCGTAAAATCATAAACACAAATACATTGTATTCACAGGAGGAAAACAACTGTATTTTTTAATTCTCACACTAATTATAAATTTGATAAGCAATAAAGGAAATTGTCCATATAACCTCAAAACACTAATTTGAATACACACTGAGATTTCTCAGGATCTACTTTGCAGAGTAAAGCGATGTGTAATTTCTCTAAAGACTAAACCTTTATCACTGGTACATTTTCAACATAGTCAAAGGAAACTGGAAAAAGGGAGGCTGCTCCTACCTTCTTCCTTAACTTCGCTGAATAACTGCAGATGATTTTTAGTCCTTGGTGCTGCTTTTCCCTTTGAACATTTATTCATGTTATAACAAACATCAGGTAACATTCATTCAATGTTTATTTTGTGTCTGTCAAATACTGTGCTAAAAAATTTACACGAACTATTTCACTTAATTCTAAGGGTAATTTGATGAATAAAATATTATTGTCCCCATTTTACAGAGGAGAAATCTGAGGCTCAGAAGATCACACAGCATAGATGCAGCAAGCACAATTAAACAGATGACGAAAATACACTGGTAAATAAGAAACATTTGAGATAAGACCTGATGGAAGTGAGGAGCAACAGAGGGTCTCTTTCTGGGTAATCTAGGTAGGAAACACCATGAAGGATAGAATATTTGAAGCCAAATGGAAAAGGCACAGAAGTAGGGAGATGAGGTCAGAGAACTGGGGAAGTATGGAGAGAAGAAGCAAATCATGTAGGGCCTGGGTGGACATTACAGAAATTTTATCTTTTACTGAAAGAGATATAAAGTGTCCAATGGGTTGTGAGCAGATGGGCATGATTCACCTGACATTTAACAGGATGCTTAGGTAGCTGCATTGAGAACAGGATGCAGGGGTAGCTGCATTGAGAACAGGATGCAGGGGAACAACAGAAAGCAGAGAAGCCAGATAAGCAGTAGCAATGAACCAAGCAAGCAGCTACTACAGGGAAGTGGTAGACTTCTGAATGTATCAGGGAAGTGAACAGTTTTGCTGAGGGACTTGATATGAAGTAGGACACACAGAAAGGAGAAAATAGCATGCTTCACAGATTGTGATCTGAGCAATGGTAGGATGGATTAGCCATTAACTAATAAATGAAAGAGCAAGCAAGAAACAAGTTTGAGTGAAAGATAAGAGGAACATTTTACAAGTTCTAATGACCAGTAAAAGCTATCTAGTAGGAGATTGAATATTTCAAGTCTGGATTACAGGAAATAAAATTTGGGGATGTCAGATTATATGTAGTATATTTAAGGCCATTAATACAATGAAATAATAATTAAAAACAAAATACTATCTATGAATAGTGAATAAAATGGTATCATTCAGTGTTGACTAAAGGGTAAGAAACAGCAATCTGATCTTATAATTAGTACTGCAAATCTTCTGAGTGGCAGTGTGGCTCTATTTACCAAAATGACAAATGTGTGTGCCCTTTGACTAACCAATTCCATTTATAGACATATACCTGACAGATTTTTGCACAATCTTTTTTTAAAAAGGAAAACTCCTGATTTACCTGAAGAAAACAAATCCCAGATTTGAAAAGTTACATGCACCCCTATGTCTATTGCCACACTATTTGCAATAGCCAAGATATGGAAGCAACCTGTGTCCATCAACAGATGAATGGATAAAGAAGATGTACATATACACAATGGGATATTATTCAGCCATAAAAAGAAAAGAAATCCTCCTGTTTGCAGCAGATATTATGCTCAGTGCAATATGCCAGGTGGAGAAAGACAAATACCATATGATTTCACTTATTTGTGGAATATAAAACCAAAGCAAAACAGAAGGAATAAAACAGCAGTAGACTCACAGACACTGAGAAGTGACTAGTGGTTGCCAAGGGGGAGGGGCTAGGGTGGGAGGAAGGTGAGGGGGATAAAGGGGCACAAATATTTGCAATCACAATATGTTAGTCATGGGGATGGTAGTACAACGTGGAGAATACAGTCAATAATGATTCTGTAACATTTTACTATGATGACAGATAATAACCACATTAGAGGGGTGAGGATTTAATAATATGGGTAACTGTTGAACCACTGTGTTGTTGTACATTCGAAACCAATGTAAGATCATGTATCAACAATACTGAAATAAAAAAAAAACTCTTGAATGCCTGTCAATAGGTACAAACCTAGTTAACTAAATTCCAGTGGCTATTATATATTATTGTCTTTGATATAGAAATCCCCCACAAAATATTTTGAGAGTCAATAGTAGAATGCAAACCATTATATACAGAATATCACTTATGCCACATATATATATACACATTCGCAGAATGGGGTCTTAGGAAAATGTTCTGTAAAACGCTGAGATAGATTCTGATAGTAAAGTGAAAAGTGGTATTTGACAATTTTTTATACCTTTCTTTGACATTTCAATTTTCTACAATTAGTAGGTGATATTATTAAAAAAAGGAAAACTCTTTTGCATTTAGAGGATCCATACTGGAACACAGAGTTGCCTTAGTCTTCCAAATATATAATATTCCACCCTAACCCATTCTTCTTCTCTTTTTCCAAATCTAGGACAAAACAACCTATGGATGTAACTTAGTAGCTTGTTATGAAAAAGAACTGGAACAGCATAGTGCCTTACACCTATGTTACCAAAGCCACAGCTTCTAGACATTGGCCCAAGGTCAATAGCATATTTTAAGACTCGTTTTAGTGCATAGCCACATAAATAAATACTTTTGATGAAAAGATTCCAATACCACCAACTGAGTTGTGATGGCATGGCTCGTGAATGTCTCAGCAGAAAATCCAAGCATTCTGTCTCATTTAAGTGGCGTAGTAGCACATGCTTGCATGTTGTGGGTAAAGGACTTCTGTCCAAGATGTAATCTATTCTACAAGTACCAGATAAAATTAAGCTTTTTAAAAGGTGTCTTATCCTTCAATTTTTCCATCTCTATACTTTTCACTGACTTACCAATTGCATTACCCTTGAACTGTAGAACATCCCCCCATTTAAATTCCAAGTCACTGATGGCACCAGTATCTGCTGATGTAATAAATGAACTAGTCCTTGAACTAGTACCAAGAAATGTCTCTCTTTATGCACCAATTCCTTTTGTGCACCAAGTCTGATTTATTTTTCAGGCTTTCAGATTTTATACGTCTGATTTATTGTTGCAGATGTAGAAAATACAGAGTAAAGTGTGTTGTACTATTTATAACACCTAATAAAATGTCTCAAAAATGCTTCAGGTTTTTAACAGAATTTTTATACAATAATTATCAAATTAGCACATTTCTATCCACACAAACCAAATATTAATTTCATGAGAGCAGACTAAGATTTTCATCAGGGCCATTAACAATTTAAAATGATAATCTTCACTATCAGTAATATATATTGCTTCACAGAAATAGTGTTATTATACATGGACTTTCTTCTTTGGGTCATGTGTAAAGCAAGAAAACTATCATAAAATTCAGGGGAAATAACTGAGATAAAATAAATTTGGACTTAAAAAAAAAGAATTTAATAAAAAAAAAAAAAAAAAAAAAAAAAAAAAAAAAATAAAAAACCATTAGGGGGTCACATAATAAACCTAAAGCTGCATAAAATGTGTGTCATCTGGCTGTTTACAAGGTCTGTGGGTTAAATTTTTACTGTCAGCTTTATAACTGGCTCCCTTAAAGGGCCTCCTCATCACAAAAATTAATGGAAACTGAAGAAATGGAAACAGTATAAGGAAAAGGTAGCTCCTTCCACACACAGAGAAGTAAAGATTGTAAGATTTAGGCAATGATTTTATAAACTATAGCCTTGCACAGCCAAGCCCAACCTTTCCACTGCTTGAAAGCCACAACTCCATTAGCACAAAGCCATAAAACACAGAGCCAACTACTGATACTCCCTCTAACAGCCTTAAGTGTACCCTGATCAAGGCAAAGGGAATTTGCTAAGAGAAGGAATAATGATAGACTTTCAAAAGTCTTCCTTGAAAGGCAGCAATTTACATTCCCACTCAGTGAGCTTTCCTCTCTACAATGTTGCTGAGACAGTATCTCATATTCTTAACTGAAAGAGTTTCTATAAACACCGCTTCAAACATGACATTTCAGACTAGCTGATTTGACCAGTAATTTAAAAGTTCTACCTCTGCAATGGCCAGTTATTACAGCTAGCCTAGATCCATACAGAACACATTTATTCTCTCTTCCACAATGAAGTTCTTCGAATATATGGAACAGCAACAATGTCCCTTCACAAGCTGTCCAAAGAACAGACTCCTGTAGCTTCACTCATGAAGATAGAGTTCTCAGACACATTATAATAATTGTAAGGCAGAATTGTCTGCATAAAAGTGGGCATCCTAATTTTTATAATTCATATGTAACAACTCATACTAACTCCTCTAGTAGGTAACTTCTTTGCTAGGCAAGATGACTAAATAAATTGGTAATTTTGCATTGTTCTTTATGTACCACTAAGAAGAAACAAGTGCGGATACCTAAAGTACAAACAGACAAACGACAACAGACCAATTCCAGTACTATACTAAAAATTAATACTAATTCTTAAATAGGAAACAGTTTTCATATAGTAGAAATCCCTAAAAATTAACAGATAAGAGGTTGGTAACAGTACTCCAAATATTTGGTCAGGCAAGATAGGTAGGTAGGTAGGTAGTAAAATGTTTGGGACATGGGTGGTGAAAGGGGGGAATATTTAAGCCACCACCCAATTATCTAAGTTTCAAAATCGCCAGACTACATATTCTCAATGAAACCCTTATAAAAACTAAACTGACCTTATTCTTCAACATAATACAGAC